TTCTGCATATTGTATTACACTACTAATCATGATATTATTATTCATTCCTGAATTCCGGGTGGAACATAGGGTCTTCTCTGTCATTCTGAGCTTGCTACATAACTGCACTCAAGTAGTCAGTACATCTTCACATGACCTCCTCCATGTCGCCCTCGGTCGTCCAACCATTCGATTCCCATTCAACTTTCACTGGGCTACCTGAGTGGCATGTGATATCATCTGACTGTCTCCCCAGCCTATGTCCAGTGCTGACATCTCCATTTTCATCTACATATTTATCAAACACTTGGTTGTTGCTGGTCCTTAGCCCGTCAGAGTTCCAGGTGGCTTATCCTTTATAGCCAACCATTTGTTCTTCTAATATGGGAACTCTTCACATGGTCACAATTGGCTTTCTGGAAAGTAGCAACACAATAAAACGAATTTGAGTAAAACATAACTGTATACAAATATGAACCCCAGTTGAATGATTGAAGACATTCAGTAGGAGTCTTGGTATGAAATTCCACGGCAACTGGTGTTTATCAACAACACGTGTCTACAACCCCTACGGACACCTGTGGTCTTCTAAACATGTTAAACCGACCAGCCTGCGAAATGCATTGCGAAAATGACTGGTTGAATTCAGTCACAACTTTGTACTGGACAGATGACAGCGGTCGCTCCTCTATGACGAGTTGGTGATATATTTATGCGCGTGAATAGACTTCATAGTTAATTCTGCAATTTGAATATTAGTTTAGTCTGAGATGAGATAAAGATAGAAATGTTTGACAGGGTTCATTTTTAGAAGATATTAAAAGTTTATTGTCGCGGAATGTCACCTTCAAATAATTACTGAAATCCAGTTAGCTAGTCAGTTACACAGTTAGTTATGGTGGACTTTTTTGTGCATGGCTTGTACAATTCGGAAGCAAATGTTTAAAAAATAAAAATGACCTGATATTCAAGTAATGATTTGAAGGGATTTAGCTGGTTGGTTACAGGACTTCATTATGAGCTGACAACGGTTGGAGAACCACTGGAATACCAGAGAGTCCTGGACAGCTAGCTATCTCGTCCTGGTTTGGGAGTTTTCGTCAGTGCACAAACACCGGCGTTTGAACCCAGGACCTTTGGTTACAAGGTGGCACAGTGGTTAGGATTCTCGCCGACCATGCACATGGTCTGAGGTTCGATCCCCTGCCGACGCACACCTGATATCTATGATCGGCCTGCAAAATTTGGGCTACCGATATCCCTGCTGGAAATTCCATACTTGTACCAAAAATACAGTGTGGAATCAAGCTGTAATAAAAAATAAAATAAAATAAGTTAGCTCGCAGACCATTAAGCCAAAATACTCAATAACCAATCAATCACTCAGTCGATATAGATGGCATATTAGAATTAACCGATAAATTGCTGATTACTGACTTCCATTTACTTTCAAAGCGTTCCCTTTGTCTAAACAACAGTAGAGTCTGAGTTATCTATAAAGTGAACCTGAATTATATACTCACTCACAGAGGACTGACTTACAGACTTGAGTTGAGCAATGAATGTACATTCGTTTAACTGTCTAGGTATTCACTGTTTTTACAGAAACTAATCAACTTTGGAGATTAAGTCGAATATTTAAGACACTGCTTTAAATGTTCAACTCTCCGACTAGAACATTCTCGTCATGCTGTTAGTATCTTAGTGAAATAGTGATAAGATATGTCAGTTAGAATTATAAAAACATTAAGTAAAAGCAGTAATCTGATTGATGAATGCAGTGAACAGGTTATGTCTGCCCACTGGCTTAGAATTCGATAACCTATGAATTCAAACAACTGTCTATTCTTGCTATGAATTTACAGCCTTCTAATATCCCTTTTCACACACACTCCACTAGCAAATTCTGATTAGAACTCCAGTAATTTGATTTCATAAATTGCTGATATTTAATGAGTGTTATGTGTACGTATTGTCGAAAATTATCAAAACGGAAGGGAACAGTTGTTCATAAAGTTATATTTGTAAAATCTCAGCGAAATTGAAATGATTAATTCAAACGTTTCGTTTGGCGATCTGGTCCGGTCAAATCTTGATTACAGTTCATATGAACAGTTGTTCATTGCCTCGTGAATTTTAAGTGTTAGTGATGAAACCTATATTGAAACGATAAGCCGTAATTCCTCATTTTGAATCCAGTTTTTCCCATATATTTTGACTACTTTCACATTTTTAGAATTCTGTGTACTAGACGATTTGTCTAAACTACCAGTGTAATCTCAAAACGAATAATGCAGTGGAAGTGACAAACTGTCTAAACACAGCGACTGGTAAGTTCTCTCAAGTCATTATTCCTATTTATGAATTTGAATAAAGCAGAAACAATGGTTTGTGTAGCATTTTATTAATGATACCATTTTATTTCGTCAGTTTCTCTTCATCTGCAGATAACCTAAGTGTCTTTCAATGAATTGTAAGTACACACAAGCATTTTAACATTCTTGCAGGGGTGAAATGAATTCACTTCACTAGACCGCCCAAAATTTATGAACAACACTCAGAAATTACAGCAGTATACTTTGATACAAGTCATAAGGTCATATCTCTGAAACCACTAGAATTATCAATAGAAAAATATCTCACTTCACCTGAAGTTCACTCAAGCTGTTGCTACCTAATACTTAAAACTCAATTCATACATTCAGAAAGATGCGGTTTTTAGTCTTTCCTTGCTCTTGAAACTCGATGCATTTAGTCTCCCTTTTATTTCGTTATAATATTCTCTCTGTTCAGTATAGTGTATTCATATTTGTTTTTTATTCACTAATCTCACAGTCATTGTCACACAGCTTATCAGTCACTTATCATCTCGTTGTCCTCCATCCCTTGATATTTATTATACAACTCTTTTTCGATTACAATGTAAACATTGGCATTTTGGTTCTGTTCTGTTTAAACTTCAACCTTCTGAGTATGAGTACAAGTGAGAGAGATTTCTTGACACCCTTATTTTGGAGTTTTGTGTTAACTGATACTGAGTCACCGTTCCAATTAAATTTCAATTTTTTTTAATAAACATAATCGTTACTTTTTCAGGTGTAATACAGTTGATGGAAAGTCGGTGAAATAATGTATGCCACCATCATATTCCACACATGCACTGCTGATTATGATTTATTCAAGCATATATATATATATATAACATAAAGAATATGTTAAATGAAACAGGTGGAGGCATATATTGAGAAAAAAGATAATATCAGTAATAATAAATCCGTATAAACGAAAAATTCAATAGTATTGTGGGAATGTTTGCATAAAGGGCATAAATTATGACGAATAATAATAACTGTTATAATAATATTTGTAATAATAAGCGAAGTAAAAAACAACACCAAGAGGGTTAAGGGGAAGAAGCACTCTTGGTGAGAAGAAAAATCTTCAATCCAAGTTTGGCCACGGTAGGGACAGCGTCTGGAAGTGTTCTTTTTGGATACAAAGTTCTGGTTTAGTCGATCTTATTGCAACAGCTTCAGCTATGTGTAGGACATCGATGCGATGTCCAGTATCGACAAACTGTGACAAAATCGGGCTTTTTATGCATTTAATTTCCCCCTGCTTAACCCAGCTGGTAAGTATTCTTGAACCTGTAGACGAACCTGCCTAATCTTTCGCCCTATATAACTTGAACTACAGGAACAGTTAAAATGGTATATGTCACACTTGGTCGATACTGGACATCGCATCGATGTCCTACACATAGCTGAAGCTGTTGCAATAAGATCGACTAAACCGGAACTTTGTATCCAAAAGAACACTTCCAGACGCTGCTCCTACAGTGGCCAAACTTGGATTGAAGATTTTTCTTCTCACCAAGAGTGTTCCTTCCCCTTAACCCTCTTGGTGTTGTTTTTTTAATTCGCTTATTATTACAAATATTATTATAACAGTTATTATTATTCGTCATAATTTATGCCCTTTATGCAAACATTCCCTCAATACTATTGAATTTTTCGTTTATACGGATTTATTATTACTGATATTATCTTTTTTCTCAATATATGCCTCCACCTGTTTTATTTAACATATTCGTTGTGTCATATATATATATATATATATATATATATATATATATATATATTCACATACCCCTTTAGTGCGTCTGTGGGACAGCGGTTAGGACGCTCCCCAACCATGCATATGGTCTGGGGTTCATACCCGGCCGACTCACTCCCTTACCTCTCCAAGCCAGAAATAATGCTGGTAAAGGGGAAAGGTTAGGCATGAGGCTAGCAACCTCATCCTGTAAAATTAAACACTACTACAGAAACTTCAAGCCACAAGCTTGAGGAACATAGGGTTCCACTGGGAACATGAAGGAAAAAAATAATAATAACATACCTCCTTACATGTGTATATACCATCACATTCCACTGAGATTTATTTGAATTTGTCAACTCTTTTCTGATAGTCTAATTCTTCACTTCATAAATTATCCAATCATATATAAGTAAATAGTTGCAATTATCCAAAAAAGTAGTGATCCGTCGAGTCTGTCTACAATGGACCAATGATTGGTTGTTCTCTTCTTTTCTCCTCCGTAACCATGCTACCCTCCACTCCCCTACTCAGAATATTATATATATATATATATTATAATATTATTATATATATATATATATATATATATAAAACAACTTCATTTCACATAACATATCTTCGCACATACACCGTCATACACCATTCCATAACTCAGCGTAGACAACGTTTACGCTGTTTCATTCAATTTCAGATTGTCACTCCAAGTACTCAGAAGTAGACAGGCAAATTATTTCACCAGAAAAGCACTTACCGATGCCATCAAGTAACCATAAAGAGAGATCCGAAACAGACCAAAGGAATGAAATAAATATTTGCACTGATACCTCCCATAGTCCTCTTACTAGCACTCATTATACTATAAATGATAAACTTACTAATCCCCATCACTTTCGAAAAAAATTTCCCGTTTACTCAAACAGAGTACAATACAAGGATTGACACATATTTCAACATCATCAAACAATTGTGCACGATTAATATGGTTCACCTTATGGTTAGCTGGTGTAACCGGTTTCCTGACTAACCTTTCACATGTTGTAGCACATTATTTATCACGACCAGTTTTGACAAGTTACCATGAGGATCATGAAGAATTTGTGTGGCCAGATATCACTTTCTGTAATACTATGGCACCGTATAATTTAAATACACAGGAAAGACGAGCACTGTGGAATGAATATGTCAATCGGGCAAGAAATCTTTCAACAATGAATCATATACCGAAAGAGTTATTTCTAAATATTGGTGGAATTATTACTAATGAAGTTATCATCCAGTCACTTGTACGTTCGAGTATACCACATTGGAGATTCAATGTTGGCAATGTGAACGATATGTTTCTTTTTATCGCTCGACAGGACAGACATCAGGGGATACGATTGACAGTAGACATGGATGTGAAATTAACTAGTATGCCAAAACCATGGAAAAATTATTTTTATACACAAATATTACAAAAATATTATAATGTACTATGTCACAATTTTCAGGTAAGTTGACAGTAATAACAATACCAACGAATTGTGATAATTTTATGTGCTACAGAAAATCTGATGAATATTTTCAGTAATATATGCAGCATATTCCTCGAGTTACAAGCTGAACATTAGGTCAAGAGTACAAATATCGGTATGACGGATTAATAACCCCTACAAACTTATATTTCCAATATGCAAGATCTTCTTCATTTCACTTTCAGGTGCATAACTCGTTGATTTCACTGGAGATGCTGGGAGGAATTGCCATTTGTATGCCTCGCCAGAGTATATTCACCTCATTCACGCTCACTTTCTTCTGGATGTTTGTTGATTCACCGTCTACCAAAGTCCCTTTTTGTTTCCCTGTCTTTCCTGACCAGTCTTGTGACGTCCATTATTGGAGAGAGGTTTTGATGAAACTCAACAGTAGCCTATAGCGAGTAGTTTTGCTGACACTTAGGTCAACCCTCTGAACCACATGGAAGCACTGACTTACCCGATACCAGGCCTTCTCGCGCACTAATCCTTTTTCACCCCCACATTAGTTTCAGAGTAATAAACGACTGTCTTCCTTTGCTGATCCCATCCTTCCTGGATTTGACATGGTCATCTATGACACCCGCCTATAGTTAATACGAAGCTATCCAACAGTGAAAATGAAAGAGACGATGTGATCCAGATTTTGTCCACTGATAGGGACTGGGGCTTGTCGTAATATCAACAATTCACCGGAAATTGTCTCAGTTCCCAGCAGATGCACTCCAAAATGTTGCCTAATCTACGAACCAGTAAGAGGCATGGATAAGAGGAGGATTGAGTATGAGTTTGTCAGTCTTACAGAATAAAAGAGAAACTATTTCTATTGAGATTTCAAATAAATGAAAGAAAATTCATGAAACCATTGAATTTGATGATTTAAAAAAAATCACATCGTCTCTTCCTGATATAATCTTGAGCAGCGGTAAATTCTGTTTGAAATATCTTCCAATCATGAATAGCTTACCTTTGAGTGTTTGTATTTTATCAAAAAAAGTTTTTTCACCATGGAGTTATACACATCTACCACACTCTGTCCCAATTCTGTCCCTCTTTTGTAAACTAATTTGTGTTTTAATGAAATATTTAGAGTGTGAACACAGATAAGTTTCTTTCTTTCTGTGAAAATGAGAGTTATGACGTATGTAACTGAGCAGGCCAGCTGTTCACCTTATTGCTCTACAGTAATTTTTCTTCTTATTTTCCATATCTACCTGAAAAGCATTCACCAAGTACAACTTACAACGTTCGAATATTTTCAATCCTGCTAGCTGCAGGCATAGGCAGATGGTGAGTTCTAAAATAGAACGATACACTCGTTCTGAACTTTAATTCTGGTCACGAATTATCAAGTAAACAACCAAGTTGTCTCCAAAGGGATCATCATAATTTCCATACTAGGAGGGACTTCTGAAATGCTGAAAGTGACAGGTCATGGTCAGCGGGTTTTACGTTATCGAGGGAAGTGAACGCTTATCGCAGGTATTCGTTGGTCGTAGAGTTACATCATGGGTTTGACAAAATTTAGAATCCCCGGGTGAATGAATCTCCGGACAACTAGCTGAATGATCGACGAACTCAAACTTGTGACCTGGAGGTCCTGAGTCTGATACTTGGTGATATTATGACTGCAGGATACTGAAGTGTCACTGTGTTGCCTGGTTCTTCACTGATTAGTTAAGTGACGGTTAAATCTAAGCTAAAATTCACACTCATGCTTCTGCAATTGTGCTTATCACTATTATTATATTTTCACCTATATTGGGCGTTATCTAAACAAACCAGTAATGAATGAGATAGAAAAAGTCGCATTTTATATAAAGTCTGATCTCCATAGTTATTTGATTATCAATTCTTCGCACTATTCACACATAATCGATGTATACATCACATTACCGAATCATTTCCCGGCAACAGCAGTCATTGAATTAACCCCTGGATATAACCATCGTGTACAATTAGAAATGGTACGTCATCAACGTCTCCGAGAGAAGCGAGGATGTCATAATAAAAACTTTTCAGCAATGATATACGACGCTGATCTAGTGACGAAACGTCGAATTTATGATACTGGTGGAGATTTATGCCATCGATTATTATCCCAGTATTTATATTTACAAGAATGTCATTGTTATAGTCCATTTCTCCCGTATGGTTATTTTCCTGATTTACTTAATATAACTGATAGTATTGATCATCACCATCATAGAAATAATACGAACATTAATGGATCAATATTCCAGCCAGTCTTGTGTTTGAATATGTCAGTGTTCAATGACTATCAATTGGTGGAAAATTTGAATTGCATGAGCCGCGTATTCAAAAAGTACAGTAATGCCAGTTTATATCTGAGCTTAGAGAAAGCTCAACATTGTGAATTTTATGCACAATCAACAAATTGTGATGAAGTGAAGTATAATCATTTCGGTATGGTGAATAACCCAATACCAGATTTATGGGGTAGTGCGCATAATGAAGCCAGAACTGGGCTCTTAGTCAACATATTCCATCTCCTTTCAAACCAAATTATGAGTGACGATCAAAATATTTACGGTAATGGTCATATTTCAAGTGAAAACATGAAAGAGGTATCACGAAATGAATCAGCACAACAAGAAATACTTCAACAATTACGTAATAATTTTGCTTTATTAACGGTAGAACGTATTAGTCCTCGTGGCAGACTTGTTCTCGAAGAGCATGAATACCCATTAGGTCGATTATTATCTGATATTGGCGGTAATATGGGATTATGGATTGGTATATCTGTGATTGGTTTGTTTGAATCTTTTGAACTCATCGGTTGCATCATATATGCATCGATTAATTATTTTAAAAGCTTGACAATGCGTTTATTCAAATCACGATGTTTTTAGAGTTATTTCGAATTCTTCCTTTCTTTTCAAAAATGTGTGAGACTCCATTCATATTAGATATGTCCCACATTTTCATCACAGTCATCTCCTTTTTTGAAATCGGTTAGTGAACATTGAACAGTTTTGTTCATCCTCATGTTTTCAGCGCTCAGTATGAAAACATTTATGTTCAAAAGTGTAATTTATGTTTATTTTAGGTGACATATAGACACATTTTGTCGGTGTTTACACATGTATGCCAAAGCTACAGACAGATGTCATATGTACATTTTGACTTTAATTCATATTCACGAACTAACAACTGTTCCTATGCACTCAAATGCTGCTGTTAGAGGATTGACTTGTGAGTATTACTCACTGGTTTGATTTATACTAGTTTTCAAGAGAAAACTGTGCAAAAACAATCTATTTTCGTGGATTCGTTTAGTTTTTCCATCAAATATTGTACAGAAATGAACATTTTACTGGAAAATATAAGTTGTGAGAGAAAATGTTCCCATACAATTTAATTTTGAATATAGTCTAACTATTTCAATCTTTAACCGTGTTGCTTATGAGTTAATGACATTCTGACTGATATACTTTCTAACTGTATTCACATGTATGCATTGGTGCACTCATGGTAATTTCTACATATTTTACACTAATGAACTGTTTCGGTGAAGGCAATAAGCTGTCAGGGTTTAATAGGGTTGACAGTGGCCAGCAGTGGAATTGAGTATGTGCACGTCTTCCTGTTGGGGAGTCATCCGGTGGATATGGCTGCATTCCAGGTGAAGGGTGATGTTTCCACTGGAACCCGTTGAATAAGCGGTGGTTCACATGGCCTAGGGGTTAAATTAACAATACTTGAATCTTGTAATAACGAGTGTTGAATTCCAGTCCGTCTGAGTGCATCTTGACCCAGTTCGGATACAAATACATTCAGCTAACGAATCACAAAACGGATTAGCACGAGCCCTGGCTTCGACTGCTAGCCACATTGAACCAAAACAAAGTAGTATTCACAAGCCATACTCAAATGCTTCTTCTCCACTAATAAAAAGAATGAATCAAGTCAGAACCTTATTTAACTAGAAGCCACTTAATACTAAAGATGAAGTGAATAGATGATTAGAATTTAAAACACTTAGTCCCTTTTATAATTTTGAATAGTGTTACTAGAAGACGAGGATTATCTGAAAAGTGTGATGTGTTTGCGCTATACACTTGGAACACTCTGATCATTTTACTTGTCAAGTCGATATATATGATAAAATTAAGGGCAATTAAATTAAACAAAGTGACAAAAAAGGATTTGAGAATGATTAACACAACGTTTGGTAATCCAATCAAATAACGATTACCAAGGTAGTTTACGAGCAACAATAAACTGGCTTTGAATACACAGGAGGGGGGGTGCTTAAGTTTATGAATAGCTATAGCCTCAGCGTATTTCAACAAGCGCCCTTGACTGTTTTATAGATGACCTTATTGGCTGCGCTAACACCAGCATTATGGTTCTTCTCAAGCAGATGTTTAGCTATAGACGAAGTTGACAGTCTGACACCTGAATCTAATGGTTTTCCATAATTCATTCGTTTTTCTAGCCATTTCGGAATATGCTCTCCCGCGCTCACATGCAAAGTATTATTACTGCTACCCATGTATGTGCCCACACACACTAGTATACTATCTCACCTTAGTATTTCAATCACTGTCAAATTATATATAAATATACACATATAGCTGAATACTGATCAGGAATGGACGTCGTCCGTGCTCAGATTCACGGCAGACCCATCATTGAATCTAAAGTAGCCCGTATTGAGCAAGGTTAATGAGGAAGACTGAGTGTGAGAATAGCAGCTCCATGCCGAAAAGTGCAACATGACTATTGGAACTCCGAAACCCATTCTTGAAGGCCTGGTTCTACGCGAAACACAAAGGATTAATATATATTTATATATGTTTATATAAATGTATGCACAAGAGTGCACATCTATGAAAATTAAATCCTAGAAAAGATAAAGTTTTCTCCGCTAACGTCATTCTAATCTCTCTTTTTCTAACTCACTCAACTGATTAATAATAATTACAAGTTTAATTGAAGACAAGACTCAAGGTCCTCCACTTCAGAATGATTTGATAGCTGAATGGGACATTTTATTCCACATTCTTTTTTGAAAAGGTCTCCTGTGTAGTAAATGCTTTCGCATTTAGAGGAATGAGTGCTGAAAACGAATTCCTCTGCTGTATAAAAACGCACCAAGACAATTCAGCAATTAGGAAGATGTGAAACAATTTATTTGCATAATTAAACTACTTATCGCCTGCAGGAAAAAATTTTAAGGAATCAGAATAAAACCCTTTTTCTTATGATAGTAATAATAAGAGAAATTCGTCAGTGCCACTAATTAAAGCCACTCAGGGCAGAGGAGTTGGGGGGAGAAGACCGGGCTTCAACTGGCCACCTAGAAGGCAAAGATGGAGAATATAATTATTATTATATCCTTTAATTCCTAGAGGAACATAGGGCTTCAGCTGCGCGTCTCCATTACCTTCTGTTTTCTGCCAACTTTTTCATCCCGCTCCAAGTCTGCCCACATGCTTTCATCTCCTCCTCACATGACCTCCTCCAAGTCACCCTCACCCTTGGACGACCAACTCGCCGCTTTCCTTTCGGGTTCCACTTGAGCAATGGCCTGACTAGTGGTGTCACTTGATGGTTTCCTCAGGGTGTGGCCAATCCATCTCCATTTCTTCCTGCTTATTTGTTTCACAATCGATTCCTGCTGGGTTGGTTCGCTCATCGCCGGAGACCCTGTTTCTGATCTTCTCTGGCAAGCCATTTGATCTTGAGTATTGAGCGAAGACAACTAGCTGTTAATGAAGGTCTGAAGTTTGTTTGAGATGCTGTTTATGACGCGCCAAGTCTCTGATCCGTATAGTAGCACTGACTGAATTCACATTGGAGTTGAAAATCCGGATGTTATTTTTGATGCTGAGTGCTGTTGACTTCCACACAGATTTGAGAGTAATGAAAGCTTGTCTTGCTTTTCCGATTCTGGCTTTGATATCCTCGTCAGTTCCGCCTGTAGTTGAAACTGTGCTTCCCAGGTAGGTAAAGGAGGCTGTTTATTTCAGGTTCCTCCCATTTATGCTGGCTGATTGTTGTCTGTTGTTGTTGCTGCTGTTGGTGTTGGCCAGGAACCTTCATCATCTACCTCTGTTTTCTCTATGTTCACCTGAAGTCCTATCTTTGAAGCTTCTTCTATCGCCAACTTGTTGCTTTTCATCACTTGCATATCTTCCAGTTTGTGGGAAATCAGACATATATACCATATCAGCCAAGTCCTGATCCTCCAAGTCTCTTTTTGTGTGAGTCCATTTTATGCCTGTTTCTTCATTGCCCGTTGTCTATCGCATTATCCAATCTACTGCAATCAGGAAAATCGTTGGCGATAGTAGACAGCCTTGCCTCACTCCCGTCCTCACTTCGAAGGCTTCCGTAATTTTCCCGTTGTGGATTACTTGGCATGCAGCGTTGTCGTATAACTGTTGGATGAGATGTATCATTGTCGATGGGACCCCATGGTGGTAGCGAAGTAGTTGCCAAATCACCTCTCGATCGACGCTGTCGAAGGCTTTCTCAAAGTCGATGAAGTTGAGATAGAGAGGTGACTGCCATTCTAAACTTTGTTCAATGATGATTCGTAATGTGGCGATTTGATCAATACATGATTTGTTCTTCCTGAATCCGGCCTGTTCCGGTCGAAGTTTTTCATCCAGATCGGCGTGTTTGATTCTGTCAAGGATGATGTGGCTTAGTATTTTGCTAGGGATGGACAGGAGCATAATTCCACGCCAGATCTTGCATTGACTTAAGTCTCCTTTCTTTGGTAGTTTGAATAAGTATCCTTTCTTCCAATCCTTAGGTACTTTGCCCTCTTTCCACACCTTCTCCAGTAGGAGTGTCATCAAGTCCGCTGTTGTCTCTGGGTCCATTTTCAATGCTTCTGCTGGGATTCCATCTGGTCCTGCTACTTTTCCAGCTTTTAGCATCTTCATTGCATTCAGGACCTCTGATTTCGTCAGAGCGTCGATGTTCACTGGTAGTTCTGCTTCCGTTGTTGGTATTGTTGGGCGCGTTGTAGGTGGGGGACGATTTAGAAGTCTTTTGAAGTGTTCAGCCCAGTGCTTTCTCTGTTCCACCTCTTTGGTGATTGACTTTCCATTGTCGTCCTTTATTGGCTTAATCTGTGTCGAACTTTTGCCCGATAGGTGCCTAGTTGTTTGGTAGAGTGTGGCGAGGTCTCGTCTGCCTGCAGCTTGTTCCGCTTTACTTTCCATGGTTTCATAATATTTTCTTTTGTCTTCCCTGGCACTCTTCTTTACCCTTTTGTTCAGCGTGTTGTAACTTCCATTCAACTCCTGTTTTTGTTGCTCGTCGGTGCACTAGATAATCTTTTGTTTCACCACCCTTCTCTCTTCTATTAGTCTCCAAGTGTCCGTAGTGAGCCACTGTTTGTCATGTCTCTTCTTTCTGCCTAGACCTTCCACGCAGGTTTAACTCCACACCGCTTTCAAGTTGTCCTAGTAGTTCTCAACGCTGACCTCTTCGCTAGTGTTGATTTGTGTCTCGGCTTTGTCCTTTATGCTTGCAATGAAGATGTCCTTTGTATCCTCATCCTTCACTTTTTGAATGTTGAACTTGGCTTGTGGTCTATCTGCAGCTCCTGTTTCCCTCAAAGCTTTTAGTTTGATTTGGATTGTCCCTTGTATGAGATAGTGGTTTGAGCCAACGTCTGCTCCTCTTCTCACTTTTGTGTCCAGCAGGCTGTGCCTCCACTTCCTTGAGATTGAGATGAAGTTAATTTGGTTTTTGGTTCGCCCATCTGGTGACACCCATGTAGCCTTGTGGATATCTTTGTGTTTGTATACGCTGCCACCAATCACTAGTTCGTTCAAGGCGCAAAAGTCGGCGAAGAGTTCTCCATTTTCATTCATTTCTCCGAGAG